AGCATCCCTGCTGCATTCTCTACTCTGATTTTCTTTCACTATCTGAAATTCATTTTTATCTGCTGACTTTGTTAACTGTCTCCCCCTCCCTCTACCACCTGTAGGCCACCAGTTCCCAGCTCCATGACAGCAGAAGCCCTGGCCTGATGTACCTCTGTATCCATAGTGCCTGGCACAGTCACAGGAGTAACAAAAAAAAAAAAAAACCCAAAAAATGATTGAATGGTTAGAATCATAATTCTTAAAATCATTATGTATTTTCTCAAATAGATATTAAAAGTACAGCTACTATGTTCTAAGCAATTGTGGTTTTCTTTGAATGAGGTCATAAATTAGAGAACAATGTATCTGCAACTCATATCATTAACAAAGGACTAATTTCTTAATTCTTTTTAAAAAGCTTCCAATTGAGAAAGCCGTTGACAAAATGGGCAAACAGTATATACAGCTCAACAAAAAGTAAGATAAATGACTCCTAAATACATGTGAAGATGCACATTTTTACTTGAGGCAAAAACAAATTAAAACTACTACACACCATTTTTAATTTTCTAGCATGGTAAAGATCAAAAGCTTAATAACACCTTGTAGAGTATGAAGAAACATGGTCTTATACATTGCTGGTGGGAGTATATACATTGATAGAAACTTTTGGTAGAGCAATTTGGAATTATCTATGAAAATGCCAATTACAAATGCCCTTTGGCCCAATGACTTAACTTTCAGGAATTTATCCTATGGATATACTTTCTTGAAAGCAAAATAGTGTACACATACAAAGATATTCACTACAGCACTTCCTACAGACCAGAAACAATATTAAGTGTCCAGAAAGTCTACGATGTCCATTCAATGGAATGTTATGCAGCTGCATAAAAGAACTGAGTAGCTCTTTATAGGCTGATATGGCATCTCCACAACATGTTGGTGATTTTAAAGATTTCAGGACAGTGTTCTCACACTGTTTTTTGTTTGTTTATTGTAAATATATATGATATGCTTGTAAATACAGAGAATGTTTCTGAAACGACACACAAAATGCTAGGAATTCTGGTTACATTTAGGGAAAAGAGCTCCATGGCTGGTGAATGAAAAAAGGCTTACTTTTGTAGCTTTTGAACTATAAGGTATTATTTATATGACTTTCAACCATCCCCCAAAAATCAGCTTAAAAGGATCATATCCATACACAAAATGTTTCCAAATTATTGATTTGGAAGACCACTCAAAATTTCTTCCAAACGTTACACTGTGTACTATTCTAGAAGTTCAGAGGCTGGGGTGGGAGCATATAGTTCAAGTGGAAGAGTGCACGTTTAGCATGCAGGAGGTCCTGGGTTCAAACCCCAGTACCGCCATTAAAAAATAATTAAATAAATTTAATTACCTCTCCCCCACCCCCCCCAAATAAAAACACAAACCAAAATTTCAGAGGTTAATAAAAACATATATTCTTATCTTTGTTCCTTTTGCACAATAAAATAAGTACTTGATAAATAATTATTCCTCAACTTAATAGAGTTTTTTCTCATTTCAGCACAGAATCCCACCTTCCTCAACTAAGAGTTCTACCACTTAAACACCTCAGCCTTACCCCACACAGCTATTCCATCTACACAAGAGAAAATATATTCCTGGAACGTTATATTTTGAAATGTTATATAAACAATAGATTATTTATTGTGCCTAAATAATAATTTTTTCTAAAAGATGCTGGCATAATAAATAGTATAAGAGAATTTAGATGCCTTCTAGAGCATTTCATCTTGCCTAGTTTGGGAGCTAAGACATGTTTATATGAAAAAATAACCACCAAGCTAGGAAGGATATTATAGATACCGAATAAGTCACACAAGTAAGCAATCCCTCAAAAGGAAAAAAAAAAAAACTCAGGAGGAAACATCACATCTACTAGAGTAGTCAGGAAAGGCTTCAAAAGGAAAATAGCATCTGAGTTGGGCTTGACGGATGATCCAATTTCAATAGGCAAGGGACTGACTGCACAATAAAGGACATCGCCATGGTTCAGGAACTCAAGTGAGCAGGCGGGTCTGAACAAACAGAGCCTGCAGGTGGCAGGCAGTGCTCCTAGCTCCTGGAAATCCACTTAATCAGTTCCTGAACCTGCATCATTTCACTGTCCTGGTATTTTTTTTTCTTCCTTATACCCTCCAGAGTTGTCATTTCTTCTCCATTCTCACCACTTCAAAGCAATCCAAGATCTCATTCCCTCCCTCTACAAAAAATCTCCAAACTCATCCTTCAATCTCCACCATCTCCAACTGGCACAAAAATCACATTTGTTCCTTTATATGCATAATCCACTGACCTGACACTGCCAACAGCTAACCACTCCCTGCAAAATAAAAATATTCTTCCTTTCATTCCAGGCCTTCCAACATTTGCTCTCTCTCCACCTCTCCATCACTAGACTCACACTCCCTAAACATAATACACAAATGTCATGCCTATGCCTATGATGTTTCTTTTACCTGGAAAAGTCTCCTTATTTTGTTCTCAAGTGGGGCACACATGGTTGTGTAAGTTGCTCACACTATAGTTTATAGAAACGAAACCCTGCTGCCAGCGTTGGGCAGTGCACAACCTCTGCAACCTTCTAAAGATGGCTTGTTTCCATCTTCCTCCACTTTGAAGACTTTCCCAAAGCAACACAATTATTGATCAGTTGTGCCTCTGATTCCTACATCACTAATCTGACACATTTTCCTTGCAAAAAAAATTTACAATATTTGGAACACCAATAGTGCCCTGAACACAGTAGATATTCAAAAATGCTTGCAAATTATGATACGTAAGTTGACAAAGGCATATTGTAGTTAAACCATAAAAAGCCTTGAACGCCAAGAGAGAAGTTTTGACTTTATTTGGTAGATGTCAAGTATGGTCGAATGATGTTTTAGAAGGACTAATTTCAGCAACCGCAAGTAAACGAGGTTTGAGACACTATTCTCAAAGCATCACCTTAGCTCTGTTGGAGAAGACCAATGGAAAGCTCCCTCGGTAATGTGCAGGCTCCTCAAGTCATTCAGTCATCCTTCAGTTGATCTGTTTGGGATTATAGATAATGGTTTTCATATACCTACATTCACAATGAAGCTTAAAACTGGGCCATTAAGCCAAGAAAAACATGCTTTTGCCTGAAATATCTGCGTATCTAGGAAACAGTTCTGACTTGAATAATTATACACATACATAAAATACATATACACAAATTAAACATTTATCTTCTTCCTTCACTTCTTTTGCAGTCTTTCTCTTTTCCATCTGTCTTTTTTCTTTTTAGTTTCTTTCTGTCTCTCTCCCCCTAAAATTATTATCCATGTCTCCCATTCCTTTCCAAATGCTTCACCTTAATGATCTCCCCAAAGTTCCTCTATTCCCCCAAAATTATTATTCAGGTTATTTCACTGTTTTTGCTTATACACTGACTTAGCCGACTCCCCTCAATACTTATACTAATAACTCAATTCTCCCGTTTCCTTTGCTAATGTAGCTTGAACCTTCACTTATAGAATTCTGCAATTACTAGTGAATCATTTCAAAGCCAATCATTTATGTCTCATTTTCCTATGGCCCTCTATAAGAATCAAGGGCACTTATGTATTTAGGAATATAAATTAATTTCATTGTACTGATGGAGTACCAAGTAAGTAATTCTTACCTGTAAATTGAAAACTCAGTTAGGAGCTAATAACAGTAAATAAAATGAGTCTCCTAGTGAATTTCCTTTCAAAGCATGTATCTTGGATTTCATGCCAAGATGACATATCAGTAATGGACTCCGGGGTACCAGACAATTTTATTTACTTCTTAGATTTAAACAAAAATCTTTACTCTCCAAAGGAAGAATTTTACATGGAAGTAATCCACTGCAGTATCAAGGCACACAGCACCACTGGAACCATGCATCTGCCTATCAGGAAAAGATTACCACGCATGCAACCCAATTTAAAAAAAGAATAGAGGGAAAATATCTTAAAATAGTACCAAAGGTAAAACAGATTATACAGTTTTGTGTTTGTGCCCAAAAAGGCTGTCTCCCTTGAAAATCTAACTTTACTATTTATTCCTCCCACCAAATATGCAAAATAAACTAGTACTAAAAACAGAAGTATGTTATCACTACTGAAGGGTAAGCATGATCCAAGGAAAGGTCAAAATATTTTCCTTTCATCGTACTAAAGTGAAAAGAAAAACTATTAAATACTAGAATGCTGTTTCTGGATTCAGGGCAGTTTAAATTTTCCTCCTTTCTCAAGGTTTTCCCCCTCCCCAAACTGAAGATCCCTCTGAAAGTCAGTGTGTGAAACTTCGGTACTAAACAGTGGACAGATAGGTAGTTTGCTAACTCCATACTTCATAAGAAAAGAAGAGAGAAAGGGCACAGATGTCCATTATTTAGAATCCATTTCTAAGTTAATCTCCTTTATAACAATTCCATTAACAGCACATACTATGCAGAGTGCATAGAATGTGTGGGCAGCATACAGCAGACTACACTCCACAATAACAAGACTTCATCTTTTTTTGATGGTGCTTGATGAAGCACCATCAAAAATTGTCAAATAATTCAAAACTGCTCTTAGCCCAAGGTTAAATTGTTAAATTCGAACAATAAAAGTTTTGAGAAATCTAATTAACCGGTTACTATTTGCTCAAAAGTATACTACAAAGATGGGAGGTTTGTTTATCTCTGTCTGCCCCTCCCCTTGGCTGGCGATTCGCCCTCAAGAGGGGCGTCTTTTGTGTGGACCTGAGCCGACTAGTACTGGGGAAATGGCGGGGATGGGGTGGCGGTGGGGAGGAGGAGGTCTAAGGACCAAACCGCTCCTTGGCTGGCCGCGCCTGGGGCCTCGTTGGACCCAGAACCCGGGCCTGCTCAGCCTCCCGGAGGCAAACAGGACGAAGACTGGACCGACGGACGGGACGGACAGACGTGACATGACGGACTGGACGGGCAGAGAAGCAGTGCGTCCTACCCGGAGGGCTCCCTCCCAGGGCCGGCGGAGTACCTGCTCCGGTCATCCAGGCTGCGGTTGTCGGCAGCCGCAGCGCGCCAGTCGGGCAGTGTGCTGGCGCACAGCACCACCATGGACACGATCACAAACACCACCGACACGCTGGCCAGGATCTGTGCGGCCAGCGACGACGTGGGCTCCTCGAAGGTTCGCCTCATGCGCTCCAGCCAGCGCCGGGAGGGGGCCGCTTCGGCACCGCCGGGTCGCGCCTCGTCGCGGCCCAGAGTACCGGGCTCCTCCGCGGTGTAGAAGGTGTAAGTGTCCGACATACGGTCGTCGAGGCGGCGCTGGCAACAGTACTCCAGGTGCGCGCCCTCCAGGCCCCAGTAGATCATCTCGTTATAGAAGGAGAGCTCGCACATCCGCGGCGCGAAGCGCAGCTTGCCGTGGCCGCGCACGTAGAGCAGGATGAAGCCGAAGGCCTCCGAGTGCCGGTCGAAGAAGTACTCGTTGCGCTCGCGGTCGTAGTCGTCGCACACCTCGAGCACGTCGCGCTCGGAGCGGCAGCCGTGCAGCCGGCTCACGCGGCGCAGCGGGAAGTCCTTCAGCAGCTCCCGGGACAGCGAGTACCGGGCGCCGCCCACGTTCAGCACC